CCTGGAAAACAGGATCATTTAGTCAGTGAATGAAAGAGCGAACCGCCATCTTCATATACAAATCTCTGTATCTTTATTACAAATTTATCAAATCATGGTATAAAACAATAACATTTCCCTAGTGTAAACATGTTTCAGTTTCAAAGTCCATTTGTGTTAATTTCAATTTTAAACACCTCAGTACAGGTTTCTTTCTCTTTACTATTCACATATCAATGGGTGACATCTTTCACATCCATATTCACAGAATAATCATGTCTTTGCAACAATCAACATCACTCTTTCTTTAAAGTGCAGTAATATCACCGGGATAAATCATGTTTTAAGCTATATAATTGTATGTACATACATATATAATTATTAATACTAATGCAACAGTGTGAATCATAAACCCTCTTTGGCTGTAAATGAATATTTAAATGACTTTAGAGTCACAACATGAATAATGCACATAGGGAAAACTATTTAACTTATAAAACATTGTTAAACTCGTTCAGACACTTAACTGTTTCTGTATATCTTCAGTGATAACTCCCTTTTAAGTTTTAAACAATATACCCCTCTTCGTTTAACATTTATTATAAATTATAACCTGTCAGGATACCCTGAAACACGAAACAAAGCATTACCAGGGAGTGGGGATACTAATACACCAATTTTACACATTCAGCCTCAATATACATCTGCTATATAACTGCTAGTGCCATTGTTACAGAACCTTTTCCCGCGATTATAAACGCGGCTCTTCAACTCTGTTCCACACATCAAATATTCCGTAACCAACTCATCACAGTTTCACATCATCACATACACTTCAGTAGGAAACAGTTTTTACAGAGTACGGACCTGGAAAACAGGATCATTTAGTCAGTGAATGAAAGAGCGAACCGCCATCTTCATATACAAATCTCTGTATGAGAGAAGAGGACGGCGCCCGTCACCTCGGTACCGCAGCACAACGATACCTGCACTTTGGTTCCGCTTTCTTCGGTTCCCCCTACCTTAATATTATCCTACACAAAGAAGGTTGCAATTCTAACAAACGACTGCGTATTATCACAAACACATATCTTATGAGTATTAACTTGTGTTATAAATCAAGGTGTATCACACATTCTGTTTTTATTCACAATTTGTACAGTGTCCCAACTTTTTTGGAATCGGGTTTGTGTATATATATATATATATATATAGTGGGTACGGAAAGTATTCAGACCCCCTTAAATTTTTCACTCTTAAGGGGGTCTGAATACTTTCCGTACCCACTGTATATATATACAAACACCTGTGTTTCCTTGTTCATTTGTCAGCTGATGTCTCATGCAGATGGTCGTGCTCCTTTTCCCTGCTCAAGGTTTCCTGTTTTCCTGCGTGTCTGTGTTTTGAGAGTTTTTTTCATATGATTAATAAACTCTTCTGCATATGTATCTGCCTCACCTCACTTCCATTTGACCCAGCTTTATAGCAACATTGGTTCATCACTTTTGCACCCACAATTTATGTTGATTCAATGACAATGTCATTGATTTTTTTGCTGAAATCTCAACTTTGTTGACATTGCAACATTAATTGAAGGTGGAAAACGTTGGTTTTCAAAAAACACAATGGACCAACACCAGCAGATGACATTGCACCCCAAATCATCACAGACTGTGGAAACTTAACACTGGACTTCAAGCAACTTGGGCTATGAGCTTCTCCACCCTTCCTCCAGACTCTAGGACCTTGGTTTCCAAATGAAATACAAAACTTCACATCAAATACACAAAATAATGTTATTTTTAGCAGCATCATTTGACCCCTTTAAGGCAGTTTGTTTGTCTGAGTGAGCAAGGGGGGCGAGGCTTACCGATAGGACCAAAAATCCAGAGCAGCGCAAGCAAAACTGGTCAGCAAACGAGTTCAGAACAGGGGTTAAAACTTGAACTCTGAGTTGACTTACCCTGAGATTGGAAACTCTTGAGTTTTCGGTTTCAGAACAGCTGAACAAAGTTAGTTCAATCCACTCTGAGTAGGTTGACTGAGTTTAGCGCATGCACCACGACTATGAAAAGCCATGATCAATGGAGCTCCGAAATTATGATTCACCATGGCAACAGCTCCCGCCAAAAAGACTTCCGCATACTTTTCCGTAACTTTAATTGTAAATCAATGTTATCAGAGGTAGGGCTGTGCAAAAAAATCGTATGCAATTTTCATGCGGTTCTGTGTAGTAAATGCTGCTCCATCTGAACGGAACCAGAACCCTGGAGAATAAAACAGGAGGAACAAGAAGGTTGGTGTTTATTCTTCATTCATCTTTAATGACTGTTCGTGGTACATTAGGCTTACAAAGCTTTAATCCTCTGAGGCATTAACATTCACAACGAGCAATAGCTACATTTGCTACAGAAGTGATTAATCTTTGTTAACAAAATACAAGTCTTAGTTCATGTTAGCTCATTAAATATCACAGATGCAACTTTCAATTTTAACAGCGTGTTATTTAATATTGGAATTCCTAAGATTAATGAATGTTCAGAAGAATTTTTCATTGGCAGATTATGTTAACTAATGAATTAACTAATGCTAACTAATGAAGCCCTAATGTAAAGTGTGACCGAACAATAAAGAATCAAAACACTTTCAAACAATATCTAGGGCATGTTGTAGTGACAAGATGCGCATGAAAATCGCATTAGATTTTTTTTGCACAGCCCTAATCAGAGGTGAAAACTGAGAAAGGTAATTTATTGAACTAATATTCATTTTCATGCTATCCCACGGGCAAAAAAAAGAAAAAAATGTGGCAGCAGAAAAAAAAGTAATTCAATTCAATCAGGTAAAGCTTCAAGCGTAAAATGGGTTGTAGGCTAACGTTACATGACTTTACAAATATTTGACATTCAATAAATATCATTCAGTGTATATCTATTTCAATGTGTAGCAGCTTTTCCCACATAGTCTAATGCTTTTTGATTAATCTTTGTTAACAAAATACAAGTCTTAGTTCATGTTAGCTCATTAAATATCACAGATGCAACTTTCAATTTTAACAGCGTGTTATTTAATATTGGAATTCCTAAGATTAATGAATGTTCAGAAGAATTTTTCATTGGCAGATTATGTTAACTAATGAATTAACTAATGCTAACTAATGAAGCCCTAATGTAAAGTGTGACCGAACAATAAAGAATCAAAACACTTTCAAACAATTAGCAGCTTTTCCCACATAGTCTAATGCTTTTTCACACAATTAAATGTTCTCTAATCCAACATGCTATATTTCTTAATTAGGGTAATGAAAAACATTTGACTTCTATTCAGAAGCCAACAGCAAGAAGGCAGAGACTCGTAAAATGGGAGGAGAACCTGCACCAGCATCACTGACAGATGAAGAGGAGATGACC